ACATCGACCTCAAACTTAGGCTTCTTTTTTTTTTTACATGTAATGGTCTTGAATGCACACTTGGTGTAACACAGTCCTTAAACTGTGTGGAACAATTCATGGAAAAGAAACGTACAGGTAATTTGAACAACTTGGTCCAGAGAGTAGAGCAGAAATAATTAAAGATTTCTCACCTGGGACAAACACGGTCACCTCCTTCGATTCTCCGGAGACTTGGTCCGTACACAGATACACTCCCGTGTGCTGCCAGCTCACGTTTAACAAGGTCAGATCACTGGATTTGTTGCCGTTTTGTACGACTTCGTACCACTTGCCGACCTTTTGCTCTTGATCCACCTGGAAATTCGGCACATCGTCCTTCTTGAACTCCCAACGTGTCTCACCTAAGCCTGAGCAGGTGAGGGTGAGGGTGGATCCCTGCACCAGGACCAGCTCCCTGTCATCAGGGATGATCTTCAGGCACGTCGCCCCAGTGAGGAGACACAGAAGAGCTGGAGTTGACACAACACAAGAGAAAAAAGGTCAGGCTGGAGGTCGAAAAGAGAACAGAATGGGGTTAAAGGTTAAATCAACAATAAGGATCCTGTTCTGGCCCCTGAACGATGACGGATATGAACTGTCCGCCGTGAGAAGTTGGAGGATAATGATTCCTCCTTGGCGACAGATGTGTTTAATTTGGAACACCAAAGTCAATTACCAGTGCTCCATCTTCATTGGCCTTCTGAACCACAGGCGTTGTTGTCGTTTCATTTTATACATTTATATATTTGAATGTCTCACCAGTCACTGTCAGACAGAGCTTGAACACTGCCATTCTCCTCATGTTTGGTTTCTTCAGATCCTAAATCCTGCAGGAGAACGCAGAGAAAACAATCAGTCCTCATTGTGTTGTCACATATTCCACATCAGTTTTGTTAAAATCAAAAGTGAAAGCGATTATAAAGTACCACATTATTCCACTGTAGCTGTCATTTCAAGCAGAAAAACTTTAGCAGGAGTCCGGAAAAATAAATCACATTTGCACATCAGGAGAATCTGTTTCCCATCAGGGGAAACGACACAAAACTATTCTGTGCTCCCCTCGCTGAAAGGAAACAAACACAACACATTCGGGCCCGTTGTCAAGCGGCCCTTCTTTAATGGTTTCTGGCCCGGGCGTCCAGTCTGAGGTCCAGATGCTGTTCACTCTGAAGGTATTTGATGCCTCAGTGCACCAGGACAGAGTGATAATGTCTGACTCCCTTTGTCCCCGGTTCACCAGCAGCCTGAACACTAACAAATGGGTCACTGTGTGCAGCTCTGCAACACGCTCACTGGCAACAATGATGTGACTGGGCAGTCCCCGGGCCGTGCTGAGCCATTAATTGCTTTCGGTGTTAACAAAAGTAAAAATGAGTTCATTCACTCGAGTCGCCGACACAGGAGTGGATGTGGAGATTTAAAAGGTTGCCATGGTCGTGGTTATACTCCTGGTATATCATGTTCACCACCGCCGTGGTACAAACGGCCTGTTATACAGTATGTAGTGCGGTGACGGACCTCCACCTGTAGTTGGAGCTGTGAGACAACTTTGTGTTGAAAGGTCAACACATTTGGCAGATGATTCTTTTGTGACCAACTTTTGAATGAAAACCACTCCCAGTGAACACATTTTGTGAAAGACTTAGAATGTTAATTTTGTATAAAGTTTTTTATTTCTACTTTGAGCAGTTCAGGGTTCTCAAAGTGTGGGGGGAGGGCGACCAAGGACCAAGGAGGGTCCAGCCTGGACCACCCTCCCCACCCCCCGTCTTGGGTGTCGCCCACTCCTTCAGCTTCATTGATTTTGTTACTGGAACTGGAAACAATTTTTGAATTTGTTCATCTAAGAAATAAATAAAATCAAGTTTGACAATAACAATCCCCCCCCCCCAAAAAAAACCTTCTTCCTGTTCTTTTTCTCCTTCAACAAAAATAAGTTGTCAGCCTTTACATTACAACAGCTGCTGTTCAGGTCAGAGGTCAGACTAATGCTTACCATCTTCCCATCACAAATATCCACCTCCACGTCCCAGTGTGTTACTGTTGACTCCACTGCAGAGTGAAAGGGCAGGGACAGAACAACTTGGAGAGGGTGGTCTGTTGTTGTGTTTGGGATTAGGGGTTAAAGCCTGCAGCAGACAGGCGTCTGGAAATAGTTAAGGATGGATCATAGGCCAGTACACAAGAGGGTGGGAAAGAGAGAGAGGGCGGAAGAAGGAGTCTTGGGAAGAGCGAGGGTGGAGGAGGAGGAAAGAGAAGGAGGAGGCAGTGGAAAAATGTTGAAATATATCTTGTGAAATCGGCCCATTTACTGGAAGTTGCTAACCAAATGTATTCTCTCTATTCTAAGGTCTGTGGTAATGGATTACGCAATTAAACAAATAATACGTTTCTCACTTCAACCGGAACCAGATGTGAGAGTTTCTGACCAGCAGCTTCAAAACTAACAAATCGATAAAACTGAGTGAACGAGATCGGTATCTTTATGACACCTCGACTGCGGACATATGGTTCGAGACGTTCCATGACTAAGCCAAAGCAAACCACTCCGACCAGATACACGCTGCTGCTCTGAATTAACTGCCTCTGGCACTTCCGCTCCCAAAACAAAAAGCTCTTAAGTTGCTCCAAAAACATGACTGGTTCATTTCCTCCCCCGCCTCCTGCTTCTAATAAAGAGGGGTGAAAAAGCAGCAGACAGACGGAGGATTTTTATTTTTGTCCCAGTTCACACACACACACACACATACATACCTATCTTTCTATCACTGTGAGGACACACAAATGTGTTTATATAAGATGGTTATAGACTCCTCATTTATATATGTCCTCATAAAATGTGACAAAGGTTGAATTATTTCAGTGCAGCCATGTGCACATTAATAGCGACAATATTATTTCGTGGTTCCCAAAGTGCAGGGCGAGCTCCCCAGGGGGCGTAGAGCAGATAACAGAGCCTGACTAAATCCAGTCCTGTATCTAAAGTCAGGTTTTGACTTTTAAACCGTTAAAGTTTTAATGATGTCATAAACTGTCGAAATTAATTTATTTAATGTATGTTAAAGATTTAATAGAGAGAATGCTGCCAGTGTTTTGAACTCACATTGTACACAAATCCATGCTCTGAGTTCTACACCAACCCCTCAGCCCCCCCCTCCCCCCCCCATACAAACACACACCAACACTCTCTCCCCCTTTTGTCACCCATGTCAGTGTACAGTTCACGTTCCCACAGTGCTGCTCTCAAACTTTCCCAGGATCGCTGATACACTCGGGACCCTGCTGGTGATGACGACTGGAGCAGAGGGGTCACTCCGTCCCCCGGGGCCCCAGCGGGCAGCACGAGGGGACCGTCCTCCGAGGAAGACATAGATCAGTGCATATGAACACGTGTAACCTCAGTGTCAGCGCCGAAGACTTTGAGTGACAGCAGCCAAACACAGTGGCGCCGAAGGCATGTGTCATTTGGCACGATGAGAACAAACAAATCTGGCTACGACGTGCTGCTGATGCTATAGTTTTTGTGCTAAAACAAGCCAGACTGCTGTGTTAGTGAAACTGCAGGACGTGATTTTTACGTGAGAGAGCAGAAAGCTTAGAAACATTTTTTTTAAAAACAACAGAGAAATATTCGACTAGAACTCTGGTTCTTTGAGGAGAACGGAAAAATAATGTTTGGCTTCTGCAACACGAGGCAGGTTCGTGTTGACCAGTGGGCACTGGGGGAGTTTGGGAAGAAATCTGACTCTCCCAAAAATGACAGGGATCTGCTGACTGGGATCCGAGGGCCAGAGGAAGTCAAGAGCTTCGAAGTAGTTCAAAAGATGTTAGGCGATTGAACAGGCTGCAAGAATGTCAGTAAAAAAAGAAAGTTTGTCAGTCTGCTTCCTGTTTTCAAACTGTGGGAACTTCTTCTTCTAAAAGTTAAAGTGATGTTGTGTTTTTATTATTATTATTATTTCAAGACATACACCTTTGGAACTGATGTCACTGCAAAGATCCAATCAGATCACAGTCAGGGATCCTGAAGAAATACAGATGTTTAAACTTAAGCATCAGAACAGAACTGAAAGTCGATTCAAGAGATGTTTTTGTCTGAATGTTGCAAAAACTGCTGACCTACTGGAAGGGAGGGAGGGAGGACAACAAAAGTCCACTGACTGGCAGTTCTTTAAATGAAACCAGTTTGCAGGTCAGAGGACGGTGGTTTGGTCCAATAAAAAGCCAACAGTGACTTAAAAGAGAACTAATGCAGTCTTAGTTAGAGGTTCCTGATGAAGTGGCCACAGTTGGCATGGCCAGTTTGATTGCAGTAAACTATGTTTTACATGGTAATTATGAAGGGGGGGAAAAATCTGCAAAATAGATCTTTGGAGTTTTGGTTTTATTCCTCTCTCCAGAGGAACTATCCTCAGCTCAAAGTTATTGAAAAATAAATCTCCTCTTCAAATGAAAGGATTTAAACTCTGGCTCTGTTCCCGCTGTGCCCTGGAGAAGTCTTTGAACCAGAGGAGAACAGACAACAACAGTGTGAAGTGTGAAGAGTCAGGACGCCGTTCTATCTGCCAACAAGGCCTGGCGGCGCTACAGCGACTCTCTGCCTTCCACTTAATAAAAACACTTACAAGCAGTTACCCCCCTCCATCCCCTCCTGCTCCTCCTCCTCCTCCTCCCTTCTCTCATCTCCCCTAACTCCACCCCTCTAAACAGACGTTTGTTCTTTGTTTAAACCACAGAGATAATTAAGCAAAGTTTGACACAAATTACAGTTAGAAAAGGAGACATAATCCAGAGTCGTTCTCAGTCAAGTTGAGTCAAGAGTGGTTCTCACTCTGGAGATGACACAAAAGAATCAATAAAACATTTTTTAAACCTAGGCATTTACTGACATTTGAAACTTCTAGCTCACAATGGTAAGAATGTATGGAAAAGAAAGAAAAACAAATAGTGATAGCAGAGTAATCACCACCACGGTTTAACTGTTTCCTGTCATGTGAGTTTTCCCACAGATGCTGGGAATCAGTGGGGTGATTGAACGTTCCCAGTTTTTTATAAACAACTAGGCTGTGGCACAAGCTAATGAAGAGGAACGTCAGAACTGACCCCAGCAGGGACGCTCACAGCCCACGCGCAGCTCCAGGATACAGCTGGAGTTGGTAACCCTTCTCAGCAGCATGTAATCCCACTTCTGGGATTATCCGTATGAGCTATATCTGCACATCGTGTTGAAACATCTGGCAGTGATGAGGCAAACTGACAAGTGTTGTTCTTAGTGTGTCCCAGGAGGTGAGGCTGGAGAGGTTTGCTGGTCGGGTGTGGGTGCGAGTCAGCGATGCATCAATGACACAGCGGACCGTCCAAACCACAAACCAAATACTTATGGAAACAACAAAAGATGCCACGATGAGTAGATGAAACTTAAAAAAAAAAAGCCTTAAAGGACAAACGCCCGCACGGAAAATACGAATCATCTTATCAAAATATGAAAAAAAACAATGACTAAGGGCAAAGGAAATTGGGGGGAAAATAAATAAATAATGATAAAAACCGACAAGGTGAGAGCAATTACACCGACGACAGAGCGTGACAAAGCATCAACACGCCACAAGGGCGGCACTCACAGCACCGGGCAGTGGAATAAACAACAACAGAGCGAGTGTACAGATGTAGAGAGGGGGATTGTGGGAAACACCACATCAAAGCATGGAGTGGAACAGCAGAGGGAGCGCGTGCACACACACACACACACACACACTGACACACAGGAAGCTGAGATTTCTATTTTTTTTTTAAAGTCTCTTATTGTGTTAAATGAAATGACAACACT